CCCTCTCAAAAAGTTCCAAGTTAGTGCAGGTAAAAGCATCTGGAAGCTGTTGCTTAGGAGCTTGAAACGTTGACAGGAAGATCCTTCCGAATATTGTCCGCACTGAGCATCCTAAGCCCCCAGAGATCATGCTCTAGTAAACTCTGTTGGAATCAAAAGTCTACTCCAGCCTGAAAAAGTGTCTAAAATAACTGACATGATGATCCAGGAGGGAGTTAGTTGGTTTCCTCCTTAACCAAACCATGGTGGCATAATTACACTTACTGAATGTATTCCTCAGTGTGAGGTCCCAACTGTCACCTAAGGTATAAAGACCCTTCGCTGAACATAGAATTTATTTCTACATAGGTTTCAGTAAACCACACCCTTCAAAAAGAGTGAATATTTTTGTATTTCCGTGAAGAGACATATTTATCCCCAACTCTAAATAGCAACCTAAGACCAATTTAAGCCAAAACTGCTTTGTCTGCCGATTAATTCTGCACCATCTTTTGAAAACTATGATGAGATTTTTCTTAAAGATACGCTTTCCCTCCCCCCTCTCCCCCTACTGTCATCACGTTCAAAATATGCCACCACGGGCTAACTTGCGATTGCAAGTATTGCAAGGATTTCAGGAATCCCAAACAGGAAACCCAGAAAAGCACAGAGGCCACCTGTGGTGAGCGATCCCAGACAAGTCATCCAGTCCTCTGCTCAAAAGAAAAACAACTATACTTAGATTTACTGCACTACTTGTCTTCACCAAACTTTTTCTTGGTATCTAACTCAATGCCAGGGCCCTGAACCACACCAACGGACTTTGCAGCCCCTTCCCCTGCCATCTCAAAGGGCTCTCACCATTCTGGGTGAGACCACTGGGAAAAGAACCACCAGAAGTCTCATCCAGGGCCTCATCCTTTGGCTTGGGCGCCGCATTTGAGCTCGGGACCGTGCTGGGATGCTCTGCAGCCGTGCTCCTGCCTGACCACATACCTCTTTGATCCTGCTCTTAACCCTGACCTACTGACTTGTTCTTCTGCCTCGACCTCAGACCTGCCTCACTGCTTTGGACTTGTCTGGGAATCACCAGATTCTTGCCTGACCCTGGTCCTGATCTTCCTCATAACGGCAAAGTTAAGCCCAGTGCTTTGTCTTATCCATCAGAGACAACAGATCATCCTCTTCACATTATGACTCTTTGGTATTTGAAGACTAAGTCATCTTCCATTGGAGTTTTTTCTCCTCTCTGCTAAACAATTAAGTTCTTCATCCTATCTGTCACGCTTTCTAGATCTGACAAATCCTCGTGAGCTTTCGTGTACTCAATTATTTACTTATTATTATTCAAATAATCTCCCCTTTATGATCACATTATACTCCGTAAGACTTCCTGCAGAATTAACATTTGTCCATTTTACCCTTCTAATCGACCTACTCTGCAGATCGTTTCTGCCCTGCGCCAACCCAGTCAAGCCTATCATGATGGAACTTGGCACTGGGTCTTTTTCTGACCATTTCAAATTATAATCATGTACAACAAGGCATTTGCAAGTTCTTCCCACCTAGATGTAGTCTGCAGACTAAAACACGCCTACTCTGTGCAGTGTGCCTATCACTAACATGAATCTTCCTGGACTTTGGAAACTCTTTCCTCCCCATGCAGCCTTTCATTACAACCCAGTTGTCAGAGTCTTCACAGCAGTAAACTCCAGTCAGTTTTAAAACCATCCTTGTCCTTATTAACTTAACTTTTTCATGAAATTACCACGTAAGAACGTCCTAAGTGTTACTAAAAAAATAAAAATCACAAAATGACCTACAGCTTCTACCCTAATCACAAGGCCTCTATGTGATCACGGAAGGAATACATTTGTCAGATCACACTCATCATCATTTCAAATTAAAGTCAGCCATCATGCCTCCCTTTTATTCCAAGCACATATGAGCAGTCTGTTTGAAAACTCCAATTTATTCAAGTCTTTACTATGGTCTTCTGCAACTGCTGAGGCAATGGCCTCACAGTCAGTGCCTTAACTGTCATGGTGTAAAACATGCACTGAAAGAGGAAAAGATTCAACAGAAACAAAAAACATATCCTAAGGCATCCATACAGAGAAGCTGCACTTAGGTTGTACAAACAATTTGTAATACACAAGCAGGTTAAGAGGTTCACCAAGGAAATCTCTGCAATGTAAATGCTTTCAACAAAATTCTGGATGTTTTGAAATTAGGACCTTCCCACTATTTATGTACCTAAAATGAATTTTAGTTTAAATATCAAGACAAACACTTCATCTCCAAAAGAAACCAAACAAAAAACAGATGCGATTTTTTTGGGGTCTGCTCAAGCTTTTTGTTCCAAAGTTTAAGATTTCTTAAAAGGAAAAAGTCTCAAACTGTTGCACATACTCAATTCATAATTGCCTATTTTAACAGCACGATGTTACAGAAGAGAAGAAAGGAAGAAAAGAACACAAGCTGATGCTACATAGCATGTTCCCGCTGTCAAAAGCACGAGTGTCTGCTGAAGTGACTATTCATTGGCAGGGAGATCAAACAACCAGTGGAATACAGTGTAACATGAATGCATAATTATAAAAACATAATTAGGCACGACAGGAAGAATAGCTTTTTATAGACTTTTTGTTATATAAAACAGTATTAGGATATTTCTTACTGTGAGTGTGCAAAGATTCTGATGAAATTGATTGGAAGAAGTTGTATACTCTCTGATTCTGCAGAAAAGCTTGCGATGTATTTGAAAATAGCTGCCTGAAATTTAAGTGAGAGTTTGTTAAACTATAAGTAATGTTCCATAGGAAGAATACAAAAATTTACTACGGTACCATTTAACATTAACATTTAATTTCCCAAAACAACACACCTTTTCCTTAAATACACTTATTTAGTTAAATACAAAGTTGAATTCACCTATAAGGTCAGTATTTAAGTTTCATTATTATCTCCAGGAGCAAAGGGTGGGATTCTCAATACTGCTCTGCACTGGTCTGAGTCTGTTCCCAAGAGGCCACTGACAACTTCTTTTAGCTTCAGATAAGAAAATAGGCCAAGAATGAATGGTTTTTACATCCCATACCAAGTTTGCAGTAATTGCTTGCCAGGAAACACTACTCAGTTCTATTTTTGTGGAGGGTATTTTTGGGGGGAGGCAGGGGAGACCAATTTTTGGCAATTGATCACATACTTCACACCCCCAAATAAATATTTATGCTCAACTGATTCTATAAGAAAACAAAATTTGTATACAGTAACATTATTATCGTGAGATTATTCATGTAGCATTCCAGTATAGTCACAACCCAGGTTGCAAATTGTAATTATAGTTCCGTATTATAACGTGGTTGGATTATGTTTAAAGGTTATCTTCAAACTGAATCCCTTGGGTTTGTAACTGCTATGCAGTGAGGCTTCCCAACCTTTCTGTCTCACAGCTACATTCTCTGCAGTCAACCTCTATTTAACAAGTTTATTCATTTAAAACCAGAATGTTTATTAGCCAAAAATTGTTCACACAGATTTAGTTTTTGCTTTGACAATCAAGCCAATAAAGACAGACAAATAACATTACAGAACCAAATGAAAGAAAATTTGGAAAGAGGAGGTTGAGGCACAGAGCAGCTCCATATTTTCTATAGTTAAACTATGAAGACAAACCCCAAAGATCCGAGCTGCTCGGACTCGCAGCGTGTTCTGCGCAGGAGCTTGAAGAGCAGTGCCTGATTCTTCACCAAGTACCCTAACCAAGACACACTGCCTAACCTGATGAATAATTTACGTTGTTTTGAACAACTCTGACAGGAAAGAACAAACGTAACAAGATATCTGGAGCAAACAAGGAGAGCAGGGAGGCCATCCAAATTCATACTGCTGTTCTGGGTTACAGGGTTTGACCAACATGTCCCACATCCCAGCGAGCAGTCACATCGCTGGACAGTGGGTTATGAGATATGGACCGTTTTCTTACAAATGGGTGAGCTGCATCTGATTTTATACACAGGCTTCACAATTACTGCTTATTCTTTTCCAAATTTTGTTCTGTCTCACTCTATCCTGTCATAAAATTAGAACACATGTGCTTTGAGTTACTGTTTCTAACATTTCTAAATATACCCTTGCACAACAGAGGTAAGACCCTTGCTGAAGTGCCAATCAGTCCTATATAATGCTGCTCAGGACAAATATTTTCAGAATTGTATGATTATTTCTAAAGAAGTAATCCATTAAAGTTTAATAAGAGTCTCAAAGAAAGGGGAAAAAAAAATGGAAACAGTTAAGGGTATCTATTTCATCACTGCCTTCCCATTTTCTTCACAAATTGTGATAAGGTAGCAGAATTTCCACTGTCTCTAAAAATCATCTAGTTTGACTTCAGTTACTTTTCAGATGATGCATTTTAGGCTACATGCTAAAATATTTACCTGATTATGGGCTCAAGATCAGCATGCCTTCGTTCTTCCCTCTTCTGAAAACCCTGATTTAGTGCTCTTAAAATAGTCTTGTCAAATGCTTCAGAAGACAATTCCTTTGGGAGCTGAGAAAAAGGTTAAATGAAAAAATGAGTAGCTGACATTTTAAAGACTGTATTTGTTCATCATCAGTCTTTACATCTTTCAGTACCAACAAGAAACTCTATTGTTCCAGTTTCAGACAGGTAATTTACAGACTAAAGGTACAACAAATCGTCGCAATTTAGTTTTGCTAGAGAAATACTTTGCTGTAAAGCCTCACATCAAATCCAAGTGTAAGATGGTTTAAAGCTCTATTTGAAAGAACTACACTCAGAAATGTACCGATACTATGTTCTTTTCCAGAGTAATTTATGGCCTTTTTTGATTTCTTTAAATCTTTCACACACAGAAAGTAGGTCTGAAAATAACATTAAAAAAAAATTACTGGGAGGACTGAATGCACTGTACTCGCTATCATCACTTAGCTGTATTAAATTATTTTAAAGAAACAGGAGTAGGAAGGAGACTGTTTCAATTATATAATACACTAGACTTCAGGGGGCAACATTGAGATTAATCAACAGCAAGTCCTTCTCCAGTTGCTATTAACACTGAAACTTCTTATGAAAATTCATTAAAACTATTTCCAGTGCCAGTATTGCAAAGTGAGGTCTTCTGATGTTCTGGTTCAAAGCATGTTCATTTTAAATGAAAAATATTCCACAGAACAAATATTTTTCACATTTACCACTTCCAAAATAATGTAGTTAAGTACAGAAAGCTGATCAAATTTGTTAATTTATATTAAAAAAAAAAAAATCTTTCGAGGGCAATTAAAAGCAAACTGCCATAGCAAAAATGCTTTTTCCTGAATTTAAAAGGTATTGCTAATCTGGTTAACATCCGTCACCAGTTATGATCAACAGCACTAAGGAATTTACACTAGAGCAGCATCTTCCTCTTGCATATCTGGAATACACCCAATCCAGAGTGCCAGCTGGAGACGACATCCTGCTAGTGGGACAACAGCAAAAAGCACTAAGTAATTTTTTCACTGAATGAAGTGCTGCTAATAGAGAGACACTATGTAGATAATCACTTGGTAACGTACATAAAAGGAACTTCTGGAATCCAGACAGACAGGTGCTGGTAGCATCAGATTAGCACAGGGCTATAGCACCTGAAGTGTATTAGATGTAAAAACAGAAAGAAATGCTGAAAGCAGCTTTTCTTAACTGACCCCTTTAGTTTTAATATGTGCAATTAAGGAACTCTGACTGAAGAATTAGTCAGCATTAACGAAAAAGCTACTGCAGAAGCAAGGGGATGAGCAAACGTCCTGTCCTGGTGTTTTCCATTTTGATTTGTCTCTGGAACAACCACTACCCTTTTTTCTTTAAAACTTTGATTAAAAGGAATTCAACTCCTTCTGTAGTTAAAGATTCAGAGATATATGAACCCAAACTAGGTGCTTACTATCTTAACTTCAGTTAATTGAGATAGCCTTGTTACTACAAGCTTGTTAGTCCTTCCACATACGTGGGTAATTTCCTACATGCAAAGAACTCTTTATCCTTATCACGTAAGAGGAGGTGCTCCTTAAATATAAGGCATCCAAATTATCCCATTTACTACCTTAGTTTTTCCCACCAATGCTTCTATTCTGAAACAATTTTTACAGTTACCTTACTCCCATCACCCACAACCTTGGAATATCCTATCAAGCATTTTGACCACTCTTTTCTCTCCCTAGGAAATTGAGCGTACTACTTAACAATGCCACGCAGACTGGAAATAAGAATAACAAAAAGCCAAAATGCAAGTGCATATGAACTGGACACCACTTGTACTTCTATACCTTGCTTTAAAAAGCACCAGAAGTTTTATCCCACTTTATTTAACAATTCTCTCTTTATTCTCTACTTACGGCTATCAAACCAACACAAGCCAAATACATTTCTCAGCTGTGCTCATTCTCCACAGAACATCTCAGCAAGCTCATAGCAGCCTGTGGTTGTCTTCCTCTTGTCCTGCCATCTTCTATAGATCTAGATGGCTGGAGCAGTCAAGCCAGCACACAGCACACTCCACATCTGAAGGGCTACCATCAGTCAAAGTGGACAGCTCTGCAACATTTTGGATCCTGTCTGTTTGCCTGGGTCCTCCTCCTCCTCCTGGCAGCAAGCAGGTACTAGAAGGTCCATTTCAGAAACTGGTGGTTGTCTTTACTTTACAGGTGGGAGAACAGGAGGCATGCAGTTGAACACTCATCCCAGAACTGCACAGAATCCCATATGACAGTCCTGCTTTTAAGGTTCTCTTCAGGAGTAGATGCATGTACCCTGTGATACGTGCTATCCATAATTCAAATCCTCACAAATGAAGCTCTGGGAACTCTTGGAACTAGACATTCCAACTAGATTCAAGCAGTAGTGAATACTCACTGCTTCATTTCTACAGCACCAGAAAACATAATATTGATAACTGAAACAGTGAACGAGACAATGGCCTTTGCACAGTAACTGGCTCTCCATTTTCAATTAACACTGCAGTTAAGAACACCAGATGCTATCAAAACATGCCCAGAACAGATCTTTCATTAGTGCCCCGCACAGACAGGAGTTTAAACACAGAATCTCCCAGCACGGGTGGAACCCAAAATATGAGTCACTGGCAATGAAACACACAGTTCGAGGTCACCACACTCATGGGGACCACAGGTGGCCTGTGCTCACAAACGCGTTCGTTCCCTGCTTGGGGGCAAGGCGGAGAATGGCTTGGAAAACTTTCACTTTTTTTTTAAAACACGTGCATGCACGAACGCTTCCTAGATTTTCTCAAATTTCTCAAAACTCCTTGCGACAGCAAACATGCCTGCCCTTGTTCTGCTGAAGAATACAACAGTAAAACTGAGAACTATTATTCTCATGGCTCTGCCTCGTTAATTAGAAACAAAAATGATACTCTTAAGGTCACCGATAAGCAAATGAGTAGTGCTTGCACTTATAGCTTAACTCTGTGGAGTACATTAAAAACTCATCTGGTAGTTTTACAGTAGTTCAGTTAAAACTGTAAGAGCAATATCAGGCAAGACAAAGGATCTCCTCCTGAGAAACTCCCCAAACGCTCTGTTGAGCTTCATCTGTCAAGCTGCTCCTCCACAACATACATTATTTAAATAGTTAATACAATTGTGAAGTACAAAAAATCTGGTAGCATGGTTTTGTTTCTCTAATGACACCCCAGAAACGACAGCTCTCCTAGACTACTTCTGAAGTCATAAACCTGATGTGCAAACACGACTTTTATATTTCAATACGTACTTTTAGCAGGAATTCCTGAAGCTCCTGGTGTGTTTTTGTTACACATGTTACCGAAAAATCGGACCAGGTTACCTAGTAAGGAAGGAAAAGAGAATGAGGCAAGTTTCTTTTTCGAAGTATCACACCAGTTAGCTGATCTTAACGTTTCCATAAATCTGATGATGTCAGTACAGAGTTAACACTTGCAGATAAGTAAATACCAGGCAAAACTGGGATAATGCTGCACCTTTTCAAAGATATACCAATTCCAAGCGTACATTTTAAGATCACCTTCATGTTATTTGTGGCTAAAGAGAGCATGAACAGATTCAGGTGAATGCAATGAAGTTCCTGAAGATTACTGGCTTACTGACTCAGAAAGAAGCCAGGCAGAAGGCTCTGTAATTAGAGGACTTACATCAAACAGACACCATTAACTGCAAAAAACAGGTACCAGAGAAAAGCACTGTAGGTCAGATATACTGGATTGAGCTCTCACTGCCATTATTGTGAGTGAAACCAAAAAATAAATAAAAATATCTCTCTGTTTATATTACCTATAAAATAATTTTATCTGCCTCAGGCTTGAATCTTACACGGTCATATTGAAGTTGCTGTAGGGTACAATTCACAAAAAGTACTGCAAGTTACTCAAGAAGTAACTCAAGAATCAGACAGTATTTTGGTATATGCTTGTACAAAATTCCAGTAGCTTATTGTTCTGACACAACATGCAAGTAGTAAAACAGCACTTTCACATGCATATTTTGAGGAAAAAAGAAGTAAGCTTGGTTAGATGAGTGCTGCCTGGCTGGAAATTCACTTCCGGGCTTAAGATTCCCATTCCATGCATGGGAAGAGTCTGTGTAGCAGGAGTGGACATGGCAATTATAAACATTCACTGACTCCAAAGAGCTGACAGGATACTGTCAACCACCAACTGCCTTCAGCTTAGTCCCCAGAAATGCCAACTATTCTTGCTGCCCTCAGTTGGGATGCCATGACTGTAATTGCCGTTTTAACCTCAAAAAAGCAGTGTCTGGGCAAGCACAAAACCATCTGCAGGGAGAAGCACAGCATATACCTGCACAGATGAGGAGAGGAAACTCTTCCCTAAAAGAACTAAGGTAGAGGAGTTTCAAGCTTACTCAAATACTTCCCAGAATATCTCCACATTCCCCCTTTAACAAAGAAATTCAAAACCACCGTCAAATCCATCTACGTGCTGAATTTTCAAAGCAGTTTTGTGACTTTAAATATTAATAATCCATATGGGCATTCTGTCCAAACCTCTCCTATCTGCTATTACATTTTACCTAGTACTTGGTTCACAGACTATTCAGACAAAAGATCTACGATGAGGTTGAAATACTTGGGCAAGTTACCCTTTAAGACTTTGAAGGCTAAATTCCACACCACCGTCTTTAGAAAAAGAAGGGTGCAGAATTTTTTGCAAATTTCACCTTCAGACATGATCGACAAGGTATCTGTTGCCGCTACTTTACTTCAAAAACAGGAATAGTACACATGCCAATCGAATTTTAAGTTTCTAGTAATACCAGAAAAGACAAAACTCTGTAATTTACATCTATTTAGAGAATATGGTATCAAGTTTTGGGATCAACGCATCAGTTTTCAGCTCAGAATGGCATCTTCTTAAGTTTGCCTCTTCAAAGAGCTCCAATGACCCACGTCGAATGGCCAGTTATAATGTCTGAGATCAAACACTCTTTGGTTTGGTAAAATTTAACTCTATGTTCGAATCTGGTAAACTACCAGATTCCCATCTATCGGCCAAATGACTCACGATGTCAGTGGGTCCTTGCTAAGAAAACTAGCACTTTGATTCAATTAGAACATCACCACCAATGGCTTTAGCAGCTATTACTGAACACCTACAGTCTTTAGTACCAGATCTCAATATCTAAAGCTTCTTTTCCAAAGCAGTGTCTCAGTTTTCTTTAAAATTCACTCACATAACGGTTTTATATGTTGCCTCTGGCTATTAAAACACATTAAGACTAAAGTAGGTAGGCCTTCAAGTTTGTTGACATTTTTATCTTGTTTGTTTTTACCTTAACAAACAAAACAAACCCAAACCAACCAAACAAACCCCAAGTTTTGTCAAAACCCACAGGAACCATCCTGTGATGGGTTCATGAGCATCCTGCAAATATTCATGAAAGAGACTGAAGATGACCATGTGTCTGCAGTTATATATTGTGTGGAGTCATAAGAACCCTGGTCCTATGCCACCTGGGCAAACAATCGACTAGTTTTAGAATTCTTTGCAATGCTCATCCCAAATTAGCAAAAGCCAGGTTCCCTAAAGTGATGCCACACATCCAGCTATGGCTGGTGTTTTACATCTTCCCACCTTAAGCCCACAACTACATAAAACACCTGATCTGCACACAGAACCTGCACAAGAGAAGTACAGGATAATTCCAAGAATTTCTGAGGACCTTAACGTAATTCAAAATTGCCTTCTGAGCAGTATGTGAAAGAAGCTGTATATAGTACACAGATATCCTGAGGACAGTTACTTTAATATTCTGGAGGTTATTTGCTTACTTTGAATGTGTACTCCAAATGTTTGTCAGCCCTTTTTCTTGGTACTCCTTTCAGGGTTATCTTCTCAATGTGGACAGCTGAAAGAAAAACATCTTATTGTACATGCCAAAAATCACAGTTTGAAAACGTATCTGCTTACTTAGCCACTCTGAGAATCACTGTGTGCTGTTGCTGACTCGCACAACCGCACTCTTCCTCAGATGCTCTTTCACTACAACAAACTGCAACGGGCAGGTGGACCCCTGCTCTCTACAAAGTACTTCTCTGGCCTGACCACAGCCCCTTCATTGCAGATCATGGAAATCTGTGAGAGCTTCTTCAGACCCAAAGTCACATCAATATAACAATATAACCACTACAAGTGAAAAGACAGTGAAAGCAAATCAAATTGTGTCTTTACTCCAATGAGTAACATGACAGAAGCCAGTGACAGTGCCTTCCAGATCCACGTTTCTGAAAAATCAAGTAGCAATGAGAGCAAATGAAGGCAGGAGAGCATTTCCAAAAGGCACTTAGGCAGAAGGCAATACGTGGGGAAGGATGGAGACCAGGATGTGCCTCTGATGGAGACAGAAATAAGTGTCAGCAAACAGAAAATGAAGATGAGAAGCAGAAGGCTACAGTAATTGTACTATAAAGAGTACCATCAAACTTTCTGAAAACACAGAAAGGCACTTGAAAGCACTTGCTGCTTTCACATTCCTTTGCCCACAGGCTACTGTATTCAGGGACAGGCAAGTTGAGGCTGCGACTTGGTAAGACACGGCACTGCATGGCTTTCAGGGGCTGGGCTTTTTTTGTGAGCACATGACATTGCTCGAGTCACACACTGTATAAAAACCCTGATGCACCTAACACGGGTTTTTCGCTTCTCCTGCTACGCTGGCCTAAGAATTCAAAAGAATTTTATTCCTTCACAAGCATAAACTCATCTTTACATGTAAAAAAAAAAATGTTTAAAAACCAGTTCGACCAGCCCTACACTATCAATTTTTCCTTTCAATGCTCCTGAGACTTTTTTTCTCTTTTTGGGAGGTGGTGAGATGGCGGGGGTGTTACCAGTTAGCTTTTTCCTTTCAATTTTTAACTGCATGTTTACATGGGATATATTGGGAACTATTTATAACAATTAAAACAAAACAACCTCCTACAAGTATATGTTGCAAAGCTTATTCTTGGAGATTAGCTAATTACTACTTCATCTAATTTAAACATCTTTAACGAATTTTGTTAAAGACACAATTAAAGAATCATCCCCAAACATGCCAGCTATAAGAGAATTAAGTATTAGCAATTTCCTTAAAGGAATAATTAGCCAGCATATAACCCCAGTGATAGTGCTACAGCTTCCAATTCTTTTAGCAAAAGAGTGAAAAATACGGAGTGTGATGGTGTACACTGGTTGTAACCCTCTACCTGGGAGTCAGAGTGCTAGACAATTGGTTCATTTTTATCAGCTAATGAAGACTAGTTATTACAAGCAAAGAAATCTGAGTTGAGCTAAGGATGCCAGACAATAACATACACGTATATGCCATGAAAAGACCAATGTTTAGCCACCTGAATTTTTATCTGTCTGGTAAAGATAAAAGCAATGTTAGAAAAAGGACTATGGCACAACATGAGTTTTGGTAAAGTTTTTTAATGGCCAATGTTAAAATTGATACTATCAGCTGAGTTGATACCCGTAAATTAATTAAATAGTTGGTTCCCATGACTGGAACTGAGAATAGTGGTTTAAATTGCATTTCACTACATAATTACGGAATCTAACAACATTCACAGTCAAGCTTCTTTTCTAACCAGATTGTGTTTATTTTAAACTATTGGACATTCTCAATGCTAAATATGTTTGTCCTCAAGTATAAAGAAATTTTATTACACAATGTAGTGTCTTCAGCTTCCTTAACTTCTTTTTGTTGGTGTTGCACATTTCATTGTAGTAAGTGATACAACAAGTAATCACAGTGTTGTTGCTGCTCAGCTTGAGTTCCACAGTTTCAACAGACCACTTGAAAATTCTGTTTCCACAATGACATTTTAAATATTCTACATGGCTAGACTGAGAAGAAATGTTTGAATATACAAGCTAATGAGGTGTGTTACATTCCTACATGTACTTTGGACACAACACATGCATCCAGGATGATTAACTCAAGCGTGTATACATGAGACTGCTTCCATTGTAAGCATAAATTAAGATTTCTAAAAATCATATTAATCACAGCTAAGATTAAAAAACATGTTTAATCATCAGTGCTATTCTTTCTATCACATACCTACATAGCACGTATCACAAAATTATTCTGATCTGTCACTGTAGTTTCAAACTATAATAATACAAATGTTGATAAATATTTAAGCTTCTCCCTAGATTCAATTATTCATCTTTTCTGTGCTTCTGTTATTTAATTCAAAAGCCTTGCTAAAGAGAGTCTCCCTTTTGTGTTTCTAATTTGTGAATATGAACACTTTGAACTCGGTAAAAGGATTTGAAACAGGTTTGTTGCCTGTAATCTGCCATAATCTTTCTCTGTGTTTTTTTGCAAGGAATTAAAACTCTCATATTGCTTGCCTTCAAAGTGTAATTATATCTCCACAGTAGAGACAAAAGGACATTTACAAGGACAAAAGGAATAGTAACAGTTTTCCCAGATTGTCAGCTCTTCACTATCTGCAGGATAGTGCAGACTAATGTTAAGCAGACAAGTGATATACTAATCTTGTTGGAGAATAAAGGGTAAGAATAAATCTGTTTTAAAAAATGCTTATTTCTTCAAAGAGAAAAAACTGTGCTGGCAATTGCACAGAAGAGTCCTGTTTACACTCTGAAGCCTTGTTCTCACTCTCCCCAGAGCCAGAAGACTACTTACTTCTACGGAAAACCTCTCACTTCTCCAAACCATCACTTCTATAAAACCTCCCAATATGTGTTTTTTTCTTTATTTATTTGCTTTTGAAGACTAATCACATACAACTGAATCAAGTAGCAAAACAGTTTTAGTTTTGCTACAAAAATTTAAACATTGTTAATACAGTTGCATTAAATTTTCTTTTCTCCAAAATCCCACCTCTTTCTTCAGGAGGAAGCCCAATTGCATCAATTTTCATGCATGCAGTCACTAGTAGCTAGCAGCTAACAGGAATGACAACTTGTTATAATAAAGAAAAGACCAAGTAGGCAGCAGAGAAGCTATCAGACTCACCAATCACTGCAGTTTCTCATCCAGACAAACAGCAAGACAGATGCAAGATTTCTACAACCCCATGCAGAGTTTAGAATTCAAAACAAACCTTAAAGGGTTCCTCAAAAGAAATCTCAGACAACATACCTTCTCGCTGAGGTCTATGGGAAGCCACTGGTAGTCCATCATGAGGTGCTGTGGTTCGTTCTAGCAAACTGGTCTCATTACTTGACACGCAGTCGCTATGGGAAAAGTCATTCTAAATTGAGAAGGAAAAAAAAGGAAGTGTCTTAATAGAATACATATTATCAAAGCTTGCCCTAAACAGCAGAAATTTAAAAAAAAAAAAAGTTCATTATTTGGTATTCTACAGGAGAAAAATCTGAAGTTCCTAACGGTGGCAAAAAGGTGGTCATTAGCCATTTCAGTTCTTATTTTTTTATTAAACGTCAGTTATAACCTCCAACGTTTCACTGACCTTATTTGAAAAGCAGAACAGGGTGGGGGGACAGATCACGTGCCTTTAAGGTATCTCAGGCTGGATAATTCAAGATCATTAGCTCGGAACTTCAGTGCTAATTTACCATTAGTATGAACTCTTTCAGTTACTAACCTGTGAAGTCATCTACTCACTACACTCTAAACATACTCTCCTCAATTATATTCATGCCCTCTTCCGTACAGGAAATCATGAATAACTGTTTGGACAGTCTATCAGGACCAAATCCATGCACCTCTTACTAACTAAGCATTCAGAACACAACCAGTTGCCACCAACACCCTCTATTCCGTGGAGAAAAGGACGGACTGAAAGCTCATATCCCCCTACATTTGCATGCAGACTTCAAAACTATATGCCAAGAATTACTACAGTTTTAATACAGTGCATAAGGAGGGACAGAACAGGAAATCATGCTAGACAGACAGCGTGGACAGATAAGTAAGAGAAGAAAAATAAACTAGAGAAAAGTATTAGATGAGCAGGGACTTCAAGTGGTTTCTCCAGGGTAACAAGAGTCTAAATATTTTTTCCCAAATTAAGATACAATATTAATGTATCAATTTACAGTTATTCAACAAACATGTCTGGTTTAAAAAACAAACCGATCAACTGAGATAAAATTCAGCAATGTTTTAAAAAGTCCAATGACTTTAGATGTAACTGTTTTTGCCAGTTGATCAGTGTAATTCCATGTTTCAAGGAAACGACACGTTGCCTTAAAAAGAGACATCCACAAAGAACTAGGAAATACTGGAAGTTATTAGCAAGTTTCTGGATTATTCTGTTTTAACTGAGGTACTTCTATTTACATGTAACAAGTAGTGTAAGACACGAGCTTAGGAAGTACCTAAATACCATCAATGTGCAAATATATTGATAGTAGGAGCAGCAGCACAGAGGGGAGAGAAGGTGGTTCTCTGTTTAGCACCACAAATCAACCAAATACTGTTTTTACCAAGTACTGGAAGCTAAAACAGAGTGCAGGTTTCCTGGAAAAGCTTTCAAAGGAAGCCAGCTCAATAGAGGACATTCGATGCTCCACAAATCTTTACCAACTGGTCTGCACGAAAAACTAGAAGGTAAACAAATATCTCTCTTATTAGTAGCTCTACAAAACAAACACAGTTCCTGGGAGAAATGGATACTTTTTGGAGTAGACGTATATTGAAAGTTCGAAGTCTGTTCCTCTCATTCAGGATGAAGACCATTGCTCCACTGACAGACCTTCATAAAAGACAGGTAGAGGAAAAAAAACCTCTGCAAACCTTCAGACAGTACTCTATTTTTAAACATAGGAAGCATAAGATTCCGGAAATAAGCGCCAGAATATATGTGGGTTTTTTTTCTCTGAAGGACTTGAGCAATACAATGATGTGCCCCATCCCTGGAAGTGTTCGCCCCATCCCTGGAAGTGTTCAAGGCCAGGTTGGATGAGGCTTTGGGCAACCTGGTGTAGTGGAGGGTGTCCCTGCCCATGGCAGGGGGGTTGGAACTAGATGATCTTTGAGGTCCCTTCCAACCCAAACCATTCCATGATTCTATGATCTATGAACCAGCAGCCAAGACTAGTTACCTTGTCTGGTACAGAAGTCACCAAGACTGTCACGGCAGACGGATCCGAATGAGGAAGCAGAGAGGTTTCAAAAGACATTGAAATCCCCTTGCAGTTTATCAGTTCTTCAATGAACTTCGGATTTGACAGATGTGCCAACTAAAGCTTGCTTCATCTTACCAGACCACCTTTACATCATCCACAGCATGGGTACAAGCTGTGGAGACTCCTAACAACACATTCCACTCACTCAGGACCCAGTAAGTACATGGGCACCAAGCCTGCCCTCCTGGGCATTGTTAACCTAACTTTCTTCAGTCCCATCACCAGCAGTACACAACCAGCAAATGAACATCTGGGTGCCTTTAGACCACGCTACAGATGGTCTGAGGAACTCAATGACATTTTAGCTGTTTCATCTAAATCAGTGTACGGTTTGTGTTCTACACTCAGTGTCAGTAATTTCAGGTTTCAAAGCAATCAGATTTAAAATATAGAGCATGCTTTGCTTCTTCAAGATAAAAATCATACCAGTTTCTAGTCACTCAGTAAGCAATCTCAGCAAACTTAACTGATCAAAACAGTCCTTCGTGCTTCAAACATCTAACAAATTATAAGCACAATGTCAGACATCAAATAAGGAAGGAAAATAGCTGTGTATCAACGAGATTGCATTTTAACAGCTTTAGCGAATTTCCAAGTTTAGTTTAATAAAAAAAGAACGACAAAAACAACCCACAAGCATGTTCTGAAGAAAGCCACTTTCAGCAAAACTCCCATTGATACTGTTTTGTCAGACATTTCAGAACAACTGTGGACACAATGAAACCCAAGTACTTCACTTTTTAAGTATTAACTCCTGGTCATGCATGATTCACAAAACTGTTGGCGTTTGAGCACTAAAGCTGCCCTGTTAAAAGTGTGATTCATTTCAGACTGCCCATAAAAAGCACTATTGCTACGACTAACTGGCTGTTTCCAAACTACAGAAGCTAACAAGTTCAGCACGTGCTTTGGTATGAGCGGGGATGTCTTCCTGACACGAAATCAAACAACTGAACCAAGACTTCTGGCCAAGATCGATGTCAATTCCCTGGCAGAGGTGAGGTCTTCCTTAAACCACAGCCACACGCTTTGCCAAAAGCAGCTTTGATATCTTCCTTCCACACTGCATCCCGAAGAGGACAGACATTTGGATTAACTCTGACAGAGGCTCTTCAACTATTCAATTTGCTATACTTTTCTAAGACATGTTTTACCACCTCTGAAATCATGATTGTAAGAACTGAAGTGCTTCATTCATTTTACAAGCTGAGACTTCCACCTAACCAATTATTTTTTTAAAAAATTCATAAATGCATCTAAAACCAATCTAATTTAAAGCTCAAACCTTCTTTTGCATTCGAAGTCAGGCTATCTGTTATAATTAATGAAAAATAAATTACAGTCTATTCTAATAAATAACTGCTAGTTAAGAAGTCAAAGAAATTGTGAGCAGTTTTTAGGAGAGAGGCATGAAAGTAAGATTTACTTCAAAGATGTATTCTGCTCAGCTCATGTCAAAAAAAGCATTCAATATTGCTGCTACACCTCTTAATGCTAGAAAACTGCTTCTCACCCAGCATATACATCACCTTTCTAACCGTTCAAACATTTTTGCAGAGAATTATTCTAGAACTATGGCAGTGTTCTGTACCAGGCAAACTGCATTCACGTTTGAAGGCTCCCTCTACACTGCAAAACATTAAACAGGTCATAGGATCATAGAATGGTTTGGGTTGGAAGGGACCTCAAAGATCATCTAGTTCCAACCCCCCTGCCATGGGCAGAGACACCCTCCACTACATCAGGTTGCCCAAAGCCTCATCCCAACCTGGCCTTGAACACTTCCAGGGATGGGGCATCTACAGCTTCTCTGGGCAACCTGTGCCAGTGCCTCACCACCCTCTGAGTGAAGAAGTTCTGCCTTATATCTAATCTAAATCTGCCCTCTTTCAGTTTAAATCCATTGCCCCTTGTCTTATCACTACACACCCTTGTAAAAAGTCCCTCTCCAGCTTTCCTGTAGGCCCCCTTTAAGTACTGGAAGGCTGCTATAAGATCACCCTGGAGCCTTCTCTTCTCCAGGCTGAACAGCCCCAACTCTCTCAGCCTGTCTCCATAGCAGAGGTGCTCCAGCCCTCAGATCATCTTCATGGCCCTCCTCTGGACCCGCTCCAGCAGCTCCATGTCCTTCTTGTGCTGGGGACTCCAGAGTTGAACATAGGTCAAATCTGTATTTAAGCAAGTCCTGATACCAATGATTTTATAAATCATCATAATTGCAAAAGAGTTCATAGTTTATTCACGTGAAAAATTCCTCACCTAGAAAGTCACACCAGCAATGTGTACTGTGTGTATTCCGTGAATGACAGCTTTCCCAATACCCAGGGGGTAAACAGCAGGGTAGTCCAGGGCAGTCATGGCTTTGCCTTACATCCTGCAGCCTGCGAGGTTGAAGTTGTTTCTGTGCCCGCTCCAGACCCTACCTTAAGCTGCGTTACAGCTCCCCACACCTGGTGTTAGCTACTATCACAGTCCTACCTCCAACACTCACAAGTAACTAAACTACAAGTGGCACTGTCAGAGCAGACCACTCCAGCAATCCGACTGGAAAGTCAAGGCAGCCTGAAGGGCCAATGGATATTATACGTGACACTGTGGGTTGCCACCTGGTGCCAGCCAGGCCAAACACCAGTCCTTTAAAACTGGGGATGCTGCCGAGGAGTTCCTGTTCCAGGGTCATGCTGTATGGAACTACTTGTGCTCAGTCATCTCCTGCCGATGAACAAAACGTGTTCACACAACACACGTACGGTTAATACTGGCACAAGCCTCTGCCACTGCAAGGCTCCCACATCGAGGACTCACTGCAGTTCACAGTGCTGCTGCTAGTGATTAGAATGAAGCAAGAAACGTGGGTGGCCCCACACCAGCTGCCAGATAATCAATTTGATAATTGCACAGATCTTTGTGACGGGCTAGAGGATTAACGACATTTCCTCTTGAAAGTGAAATGAGCTAAGAGAACGCTCCAAAAATTGTCTGCTCTCACAATCTACATACCAGTTTTGTACCCAAGACATCTTTTCTCATATAGTTGAAAGCAAGTCAGCATATTAAAAAAAAAAACACCTATCACTTGAGACGTTTCCCGTGACTGTAA